ATCATACTAAACACAAACCAACAAAACTCCCAGACCCGAGAAAAAAGCTAAGGGATCCTGGCCCAGGGTCAAATGATCGCCTAGAGAACAAGCACCAAGCAACTATTATTCGTGATGAGAAAAGTAAGAAAGGTAGGGCAAATTTAGGGTATGACAGATGCCCCTATCTAATTGACTTAAACCGAGTAAGATGAAATGCTATGGTCATTTAATCTTTCGAGGTAGAAGATGATTAGATAAAAAGAAGACCCTGAATTTGTCCAACAAGAAGTGAGATACTTGGGAATGAAATACTGGATACCTTGCAAAGATCGCTAACACCAAAAGATGTTAACAGAGAAAACTTGACACCAAAAGGATGACAAGCCTATCACCAAAAGGATGATAGTACACCCACACACGCTGCCCTGACATTAAAAGAATGTAAGAGATCCACTACCAAAAGGATAGTGGAAAATACACTAGTTATGACACCAAACAGGATGTCAGACCCATCACCAAAGGAGAATGGAGCGGAGACGCTAGTCATGACACCAAAAGGATGTCAGACCCATCACCAAAAGGATGATGGAGCGAAACAAAAATCAACCCTAACACCAAAAGGATGACACCTATCACCAAAAGGATGTAAGGGAGTCTATTACCAAAAGGATAATGGAAAACACGCTAGTCATGACACCAAAAGAGATGCCAGACCCATCACCAAAAGGATGATGGAGCGAAACAAAAATCAACCATAACACCAAAAGGATGACAAGGGAGTCGGATAAGCTTCTCCCAAGAGATTGCCACTTATCGTTGATGAAGGATAAGCTTCTCTGAAGAGATTGCCACTTATCGCTGAAGACGGATAAGCTTCTCCCAAGAGATTGCCACTTATCGTTGATGAAGGATAAGCTTCTCTGAAGAGATTGCCACTTATCGCTGAAGACGGATAAGCTTCTCCCAAGAGATTGCCACTTATCACGGATGAAGGATAAGCTTCTCTAAAGAGATTGCCACTTATCGCTGAAGACGGATAAGCTTCTCTGAAGAGATTGCCACTTATCGTTGATGAAGGATAAGCTTCTCTGAAGAGATTGCCACTTATCGCTGAAGACGGATAAGCTTCTCCCAAGAGATTGCCACTTATCACGGATGAAGGATAAGCTTCTCTAAAGAGTTTGCCACTTATCGCTGAAGACGGATAAGCTTCTCTGAAGAGATTGCCACTTATCGTTGGTGAAGGATAAGCTTCTCTGTAGAGACTGCCACTTATCGCTGAAGACGGATAAGCTTCTCTGAAGAGATTGCCACTTATCGTTGATGAAGGATAAGCTTCTCTGTAGAGACTGCCACTTATCGCTAAAGACGGATAAGCTTCTCTGAAGAGATTGCCACTTATCGTTGATGAAGGATAAGCTTCTCTGTAGAGATTGCCACTTATCACTAAAGTCTGCTGGAGACAACTCACTGGGGAACGCCCATGGATTTATTGAAGATGCCCCTGTCTGGGTTGAATGTTGATTTGAAGATCTAATTAACCACGAGGGTACAATAAATCATGAGAAATACCCATGGTCTTGAAAAGGTGCCCCTGTCTGGGCGGAATTTTGCTTTGATATTCTTGAATTTCGCGGGGAGACCCGCGGTCTTGCGGAGATTGCCCCTGACTGGGCTGATTATGGTCTTGAAAATCTTCGAGATTGATCCTGGATCTGAGCTCGCATATGTGAATGCTTGATGATAATGATATTCCATAACGAATGGAAATGCAAAATGCAAATGCTAACACGCGGTGATGCAAGAGCTGGAGAAGCATGATGCGATATTGGATATGCGTATGATGCCAAATACTTATGAAGTCGAATGCAATGCGTATGATGCATATGATCGCAGATGGTAATGGAAATGCAGGTTGAAGACACCATCTTGGTGGACTTTGGTGGTTTCCAATGCTGATTGGACTTTGGTGGTTGCCAATGCTGATTGGACTTTGGGTTGGAAGTACCAGACGAGGACTGGTATTCGAAAGGGAAACCAGATGGGACTGGTTGGCGAAAGGTTAAGCTGTCAGACGAGAACTGACTTCTGGCTTTGGTGTCAAACGGGAATTGACTTTGTGGTTTGCCATACGAGAACTGGACTTTGGAACTATGATTACCAGACGAGAACTGGTTACACGGTAGGTTGGTTAAATGGTAGGCTAAAAGGAAGGGTGACCAGATGGGAGCTGGTTTAAAAAGCTGATATATACCAAGCGGGAATTGGTATTCAGCGAAGGGTTGACTAGATGGGACTGGTTTGAAGGTTTGCCAGACGAGAACTGGACTTTGGAACTGTGATTACCAGACGAGAACTGGTTAAACGGTAGGTTAAAGGAAAGGTGACCAGATGGGAGATGGTTTAAAAGCTGACATATACCGAACAGGAATTGGTGTTTCAGCAAAGGGTTGACCAGATGAGGACTGGTTTGAAGGTTTTCCAGACAAGAATTGGACTTTGAAGGTGTCAAATTGTTTGGATAGGTGATAGGTTTAGGCTGTGGGATGAAGGATCCAATGACAGCAAGGCCTTCGGACGGTTAAGGTTATTGGGTGAGATGACAATATGATTCCCCGACGCTCGTTTTGAACTCAACAGTTGCTAACGAAAATGAACTTGCTTGAGTAACTTGCCATGAGACGACCTCGAGATTAGTTTGCCCCAGAGCTTGTACCATGAAAGGATTCATCATTGTTCAACCGATTATCGTGGTTGGCTTCAATATACTCTTTGGAGTAGCTTGCTCTTGAAAGAGCGTTGAAGCGACTTAACTTATCCTGATTGAACATTGGAGGGATCTATCCTCAAGTCAGAGAAACTCTGGGTGGCCTGCCCCTGATCGGTATAATTCACTCTTAATCAACCGCTTCTGGAATGGTTTACCCCATAATCAACCGTTGTTTGGGGATTGCCTCAGACTGACTCATTCCAAATTCTTGGATCTCAATGCCCCAGTTCCATAGGGCTACAAAGTATGCTCGATTCTGATCCAGACTGCTGAATAGTCTAGTCCTGTTTGATTGCTTTATGTTAGAATTTCCTTGATGCCAACTACTGACTTGCAATTGAAATTGTTTGTTCACGAATGGTAATTTTAATGCGAAGTTCATGCAAGTTTTTTTTGAAAAAAAGTCGTTTATTTAAGTGTCGTGATAGTGAGACGAATGGGCCATTTAGTCCAAACGTTGTGCTAATTTGATAGGTGTAAACGATATAGCAAGGATATCAACACCAATGCTGATGATTAGCAAATATGTGAGGAGTCAGTTTACGCAACCTCGCAATAATATGTTTTCAAAATAAACCTCACCTCAATTAGGTCTTTCGAGGGTTGTAACGTGGTCTGGTTCACGGTTGTAACGTGGAACTGGTTGTGTTTGTGCAAGATTGAGGTTTTTGGTTCAAATGGAGGTGATTTGCAAGATGTTGCTGCAAGAGTGGTTTGAAATATGTTTTCCCCCTATTTCCAAGATCTTATTATCCTCTCATTGAAGCATAAATTTCACCTTTATTTATAGGGCAAGGATTGAGATAAAATTTGTAACTTGTTGTAACTTGGTAGTTTCCAAAGTTTGGTTGAATTCCAACTTGAGGTTTGGTGATTTGTGGTAGCTCCCGTGCAAAGTACAATATCTCTAGGGTGATTAAGATATTGCTTCTAATCTTGAAACTGTTTAAGTGCAGAGAGGACAAGTTGGATGCTCAAGAAGCTGGTTTTAGGGAAAAGTCATGCTTTATCAAAATGGAAGTCACGCCTTTATGCCAAAAATGGAAAGAACTTTGAGATAAAGCATCAACCACTTAGATAATTCACCAAAAGCATATGTAATTATCTGATTTAAACCATATTAACAAGTAATGAGGTCTTCCAAACAAAATCTTGGAGATTTGAGTGGTTTTGCAAAGTGAATCCATGTGGGCATGACCTAGAAATCAATTTTTGAACCTCAACTTTCTCTCTTCGAAAATCATAGCTCAAAAATGGTATGGATGAGTTCTTGTACTTTTTGAAAAGCCCTAAACATTCTCTACAACTTTCATGTTTGGTGAAACTCTTGAATCCAAATGTATCATAGTGAAAAATGCCCTTGAAATTGGTTGAACATTGGTGTAACAAAGTTGTCTTGAAATTTCTAAGTGCTTTGAAATTCTTCCAAACTTTGAAGCTCATAACTCAAAATCTAAGAATCTTTTGCTTATAAGTCACTAGGACACTTTTGTAGTACATTATGATATCTTTAAATTCATCTTTGGAACTCAAAAAATGGATATGTGGATTGAAAGTTATGACCTTTCAAAGTTGGTATCAAAATTAGGGTTTCCTCCCACACTTAGAAAAATTCAAGTTATCCAAGTTTTCTTCTTTTGCAAGAAACCTCTCAAATATTGATTTCTTCATGAATAAACTCATTGATTAAACATATTTTGGTGAAATTTGGCTTGGAAGCTTCAATTTGAACCAAAAACCCTAAAAGTCAAAGACTTGACTTTGTCAGATGAATTTTGTATCGTGTGAGTTCAACTGTGTGATCTTTAATGAATTTGCATCTTGAGACTTCTCAAGCCACCTAGACAGGCTTCAATGATGTATATGAACTTTTTGAATCATGTCCCAGGGCTTGGGATCATGCTTGGATCAAAAGTCAAAGGCACAATTGATTTTTCCTGGAAAATCTCTAATTTGGGGCCAGATGAAGTTGGGCTTCAATTGACTTGTAGTGAGATCAATTAGCAATTGATTCTGGTTGAATATGATCTCCTTGAATGTATGAGAACTTGATTTGATTATGACCAATCCAAAATTTTGACTGATCAAGCAATAATCCTCTTGATGATGACCAATCCAAAATATTGACTGATCAAGCAAAAATATTGACTTTTTTGGCAGGTAGCGGTGGTATTAGATATTTTTATCCGCTGTAATGATTCATAACCATATTTTGTATTATATATATCATCAAGAATAAAACATATTGATGGGTTTCACACGCACATGCTCTTTCTTCCAATTCCTTCCTATAATACTTCCACATCCACTAGTTGCATTCCCATATATACTTCCAACAACCTTGGCCAGTGGATTCTCAATCAAGGAAGCAACAGTGCAAGAACTCAAACATGCTTTTCAAAGAAACCAACTAACATCAAGAAAACTTGTTGAATTCTATCTCAATCAAATCAATATCCAAAACCCAGTTCTCAGAGGAGTATTGGAAGTGAACCAAGATGCACTAACACAAGCAGATAAAGCTGACAAAGAGAGAAGGAAAAAGGTACCAGGTTCTCTATCAAGATTGCACGAAATACCTATTTAGGAATCCGATGATGAATACATGAAAGAGAGTCACTATTAGTTGAATATTTTCTACAAAATAATTTATACTCTCATTATAATAAACAACTGCATTTTGTAAGAATAGAATTGGTATAAGGAAATCGACATTTCAATCCCTTGCTCGCTAGTTGATTAATTTAAACTCATTTACTGCTTTATTTCTCTTTTGGATAAAACCAACTACCCGCGTAACCTTAGCTAAACACGGTAATAATAGATAACAATACTTGATCTATGTGAAATTCAACAAATCTTTTATACTGAAATCGGTAAAGTCGTGCACTTCAGACCCTACCATTCTCTCTTACCAAGCCTAACTATGTGTCTAATACCACTTATTGGAGAGTCTAAAGAGTTCATAATCCAATAGACTTTGACATCACATATTCACAAAAAAAAACTTAAACAATTGAAGTATGGATCTTTTCTCTTATATATTCAACATTTCATCTATTTCTAGTCGAGGTGCCACTTTAACCCTCACACTTGAATTAACACTTGCTTTTCTAATATTACCACTAGGATTTTCAAATCATTCTCTCTATCTTTAGATCTCAAAGTTTTAAAGGTTCTCCCGACAAAAATAAAAAAGATTGAGAAACATTTGACTATAAAATAAATTATTTTTTTTAAAATTTGAAAAACTATTTTTTATAACTCATTTGTAAATCAAGTAATAACATATGATTTATAGATCCAATTTAGCAAATATATAAAAATAAATTGAATACCTAGATGAGAGAATTAAATCATATAGCCATCAAGGTAATTGATCTGACCTGATCAGAAGAGAATCACTGGACTACCACGCGTCTTTGACTTCCTGCATGTTCACTGGTGTAGAAGGGGAGATGGGGGGTACCTGCAGGACACTCCAATGCCAAAGTAAGGAATTGGACAGAGTGAGAGCAAATACAGAAAGTAGGTTAAGAAGAGAATACCTGACCCTCTTGTGAAATAGGGTATTTATAGAGAGACCTCAGCGCATGGCCAACGGTCATTTAAGTTGGGCTGGATGGCTAGGCCCAACCCAAGTGACTGCTAGGGCTTACATGGAGTAGTGAAGACCAGAGCGTGGTCTTTTCCCTAGTTCAACTGCTCAGTGATCTCCAGAGAGTGGGTTGACCTGCTCTTTCGGAGGTGGGCAGTTGGTAGATGATGTGTCCACGTGGAGGGGGGCATGTGGAGAACGTGTGAGGCACGTCTTTCTGCCCGATGGAAGAAGCGTCCTGCTCGACGGGAAATGCTTGGTTGATGGGAGCCTCGTGCTCGACACAGATGAGGGGGACTCATTTGGGCCTTTCACCAAGTATAAGTGAGTTGGGCCTTCCCAGTCAAGTGGGGGCCCAGGCCAGAACAGGATCCCCCCAAGTCGTAGCTCTGCGGTGAGGGAGCAAGAACTTGATGACATTGTGCTTAGGCGGGAGAGCGTGTCGGGGAAGCTGCTATCAGACACCGATATCAGAGAAATGTCCCTGCCCGACGTGAGTCTGTTGCGAGTATGGAGGTGTTCGGTCCGTCGGACGTCCATGCCGAGGAAGCGCCCCCTGACGTTGTTGTCAGGGAGACGTAAGGTTATTGTCGAGGAGATATGAAGGGACGCGACTGTCAGCCTTCACCACGTGTCAAGCATTGGACAAGCCAGGTGGGGCGGCTACCCTAGGGCATTCAAGTACCTAGGGACGCTTCAAGTCCCGTGCTGGGGGTATAAGTACGTGAGCCCTTGTCCATTCCATATTTTTCGCTTCTGCTTCCTTTCTCACGTGACCACTGCTTCGTTCGTGCCTTCATGACATCTCCGTCGTACCATCCACCGTGCACTCCACTGTTATCTACAAACTAGTAAGTCTCCTCTCCTTGCCTTTTATTGTATTGTCTTTGAATTACCACCGAAGCATGTTGAGTGCCCTGAGGACTGAGGTGAATCTCCGCTGTTCCGTCCGAGGAGGGATACGAAAGTCCGCCGCTATAGGCGGTGTTTTTTAGGAGTAGGACGAATGCGTCGAGGTCGTGAGGGGTGAGATTTTGAATTTCCCAGGGACAAATACTAGTTTCCGATGAACGCCCCGGGGACGGGTAATGGTATTCCACGAGTACCCCGGGCAGGTTGGTAGGTTTAGAAGTGTTCCCCGGGGAGGTCGAGGAATGTAGGACGGACTCCCCGGGGACGCTTGCCCGGATGAGGTTTCCCCGTCGTCGAGGTTGTCCCCGTCGCCCTTTCACTTGGTCTGCGGTGGAAGGGTGAATTTGATCACGGACATCGAATTCACCGTTTCCTTCTGCTTTTCAGGTGTTAATGACATCGTTGGTCTCGGGGACTATGGACGTGGACGACAAGCTAGAGGTGCCCACCATTGAAAACGCAGTCCGGCCAGTCGAGGAATGGGTGGCTGAGGAACCCCTTACTACCCCTTCGTACTTAGTGGATGGTGAGAATGACGCCTTCGCCACCGTCGAGGATAGGTGTCAGGATGACCCCCAAAATTGGCAGGCGTATCACCCGCGTGAGCATCACTGTATCTGATCGTTGTTTGGAAAGATTCACTTTCCTATGTATGAATTTTTTTTTGGGAAGCCGGGCTCAGGCTGCCGTTCACGGATTTCCAACTAGGGGTCTTTGATTGGTTACGGTTAGCCCCCTCGCAACTGCACCCTAACACCATAGCCTTTGTCCGCATGTTCGAGATTGTCTGCCGGTATCTGGAGATCTGGGTGACGATGCCGCTGTTCTTCTGACTTTTTCATCGGCAACAGCAAACAGTAGATGGTCAGCACGGGTGGGTTTCGCTAAAGCAACCGAAGAAACTTTTTCGGCAATATATGGATTCTGTCCGGGATTTCAATGCCCGGTTCTTCATTGTGAAGCCGATATCTCATGGGACGTGCTCCTCGTTCTACAGGCGAGAGGAGCGAGTAGTGAACGGGCAGCGGGAGGAAGTCTTGATCCCGAAGATGCCCCTGGAGTGGAATGAGGAGCACTTCGTGAGGGGCACTGATCGATATATCGTGCGGGCAGGGACCCTCGGCGAGGATGACCAGGCCGGTTATCAGAGGATAGTTAGGTTTGTGGTCGGCCTACCTCCGGCGAACCTCGTGACGCCCGACGGTAGATACATCCGCGACAGTGAGGGGCGTGTTTTTCAGAAGCCGAGGCTGATCAGCACGAAGGCTCTTCTCGAGTGCTCGACGGAGGAGGAGGCCCTTAGTTATCTAGGTGGTGGTCGTCTCTCTCTTCCCTTGCCCTCTCAACTATTTATACTTTTGCTAACATCTTTCTTTTGTTTTGCAGGGAGCATGTCTATTGCCGAGGAGAGGGTGAAGAGGTTGGATTCGACCAGGGTCGTGGTCAAAGTCGGTAAAACGCGGGTCGCCTGGGTGGCCGAGAAAGCTGCTTCTGAGCAGGGAGGCAGGGGTTCCTCGTCGTCACCTCAGGGGAGCCAGTCCCCGTCGTCTCAAGATGCTGCCAAGCGGGTCAAGGTTCATCAACCGGAGGGTCTTGTTGACTTAACGATAGGGTTCGCTGAGGAGGGCTTCTTAATCCTGCCGTGCTACCAGCATCCTGGCTTCTTTCACGGTGCTCGGTCTCCAGCCGTACCGGTTGGGGGGGCCAGGAAGGTCCTCGGTTTAGACCGGGCTGGTTAGAGGCAGGTTTTGACTGAGGATTTGGCAGCCATGATGCGGGTGTTCTCGACGGATTTGGTCTTGAGAGAAGAGAGATGCTCCTCTAGCTAAGCTGCAGGGTGACCTTACTTTCACGCAGTGGCGGCTGAAAAAACTGACCGAGGAGAAGCTGTGGAGCGTAAGGGGAGGGAAAGCACCGAGGAAAAGCTGAAGGCTGCGGAGGAGGAGGTGCAGGCGTTGAAGGCCCATGTGGGGGAGTTGGAAGGATCTCTCCGTCCTGCCGACGACGAGACGGACGAGGACAAGCTCATGGTCACCCGTGCGGATTTGATGAGGAAGATCCGAGAGTTGGAGGGTGATTTCTTGGAGGCGTTCGAGATTGGCTTTTCCAGCATCGTGGACCAGCTCAAGGTGGTTAACCCTGCGGACAGCCTGGTCGTGGATGGAATTGGGCCTTTCCACCAGATCGTCGACGGACGGGTGGTCGATCCTGCCGCTGAAGTTGTCGAGGACTCTGCCCCAATGGACGAGCATGAGGTGGACTCTGAAGATATATAGATTTCTCTGGGCCTGCATGCTCGTGGTTTCTGGGCCTGCGCAGCAATGTTTTGCTATTTTTGTTTAAGTGTTTTTGTTGGGCATGCGCACCTTATTTGATATTGTAAATTGTTATAAGATGGAATTTTGTTTAAGTATGCGCTTGTTTTGTGTTTGCATGATGATATGCCTGTTTTATTTATGCTCGTTTAAGATGCGTGTTTATTACGCTTTTTGGTATGTCTGGGGGAAGTAGCTCAACGATAATTGTGCCCGGTAATGTAGAGAAATGGCCAGTCGACCGGTTTCATTACCTGGTCGTGGTGGGGGTAGTTTGGTCCCCGTGGCGTGAACGTCCCATTGCGAGCTGGGAGTCCTGCCAATTCTGGTACGACGGAGGGGAGCCTCGGTCGAGGGAATCTCCGTCGAGCAGAGCCTTATACCCGCACACACAAAGGTAGGGCTTGCTATTTCGCTGGTCTCGGGGAGACGCGAGGAGGTGCGATGGTACCATGTCGCCCCCCTGTGGTCGCGGTTGTCGCCGTGGGCAGTGTTTTAATTGTAGTATTTTCTCAGCGTCCCATGGTCGAGCTAGTTGGTCTCTATGGATATTTTCGAGGTAATAGGCCCCGTGCTTCGTTTTGTCTCGCACACGATAGGGGCCTTCCCAATTTGCGGTGAGTTTGCCCTCGTGTGAGTCTTTTTGGTTTCTTCGTAAGACCAGGTCGCCAATCTGGAATTCACGCCTTAGGACTCTGCTGTTGTAGCATTGGGCTATTTTTTGTTTTAACCTGGCCTCGCGGAGGGCCGCTCCTGATTGGA